GCTCCTTTGCCTCCACATCTGGGGCTTTGGGGATGGGAAAATGAATACACACCCTTCTTTCCCCTACCCCAGCTCAGTGGCGGGGGGCGCAGAAGCCCATCCTCTGCACTTTGTTGGAGGAAAACACAGGTGTCTGTGCATCCTCTGCCTCTTTTGGTCCAGCTGGAGGGAAGCGAGAGACCCCAAATTTGTGCTTCAAGGGCAGATAGAACAAGGACCAAGACGAAAAAAAAGGCCAGGCTCCCAGCAGGTTGCAGATGGAAGCCAGCGATCGGACACTCACTACCAGGGGAGTTACACTGGCGGCCACAGCTGTGTGCCCATCCCCTATGCACACCCCCAGTGGCTGCCTAACCCGGCCAGGTGCCCACATAGGATCCCCCATAGGCGTCCTAGCCCTATGGTGGACCCAGGTGATACCACTCGTGTCCAAATGCAGAAGCAGCTCTGGAGCCATGCGGATGTCCCTGAAGTCATCAAGACCCACCCCCAACTCCAGGCTCTTCGCCCCTCTCACGTTTGGATGCTCCTGAATGCTCCAGAACAAGGCCTCAGAGCCCAGCCCCAAAGTGGGCCTGGTTGAGGCTAGGGTCGAGACTAGGGAAAGGGTCAGGGTAACCAGTGGCCCCCAAAAAGGTATCTGGTCCCCACAGGGCATTACAGGGCTTGTCCCTCCCTTCCTGCCCCCTACCCACCCCCAACATCCCCTCTCCCTGCTTGAACCCCTGCTGCCCTCTACCTGGCTGATAGGACTCCACCCAAGCCTGGGCCATGAGCGGGCTTCCCTCCTCCCAAACTCGTTTCTGGCTTCCTCCTCCAGGCAGTCTTCTAGGACTTCTATGGTGGGGAGGTGCTCCTCCCTGCCTTCCACCTGCCTAGAAGTACTCTTCCCTCAGTTGGGAAGGCCTAGGGGAGACCTAATGATGATAACCAAGATGACAAGTCATTCCATTTCCTGAACGTGTGCTACAGGCTAGGCTCTGTGCTAAAGCCTAATCACAGTCCAAGAGTTAGGGGCTCTTATTACCCATTTTACGGACCAGGAAAATCTGCAGTTCAAGTCACAGGATTAGAAGATGCAGACCCAGAGTTCAAAACCTGTGCCATCTAATGACAAAGCCCAATTCTTGACTTCTGTGCCCACAGCCTCCATCGGGGACCCTTGAGGCCTCACAAGACATTCCTGGCTCAGCAAGAACTTTGACTCCAGGGATGCCTGGGTGGCTCAGTGGGTTAAGCCGCTGCCTTCGGCTCAGGTCATGATCTCAGGGTCCTGGGATCGAGTCCCGCATCGGGTTCTCTGCGGCAGAGATCCTGCTTCCCTCTCTCTCTCTCTGCCTGCCTCTCCATCTACTTGTGATCTCTCTGTCAAATAAATAAATAAAATCTTTAAAAAAAAAAAAAAAAAAAGAACTTTGACTCCAGCACCCAGCAAGAAGAGAGCATCCTGCCCACCCCCCCAGTTAACCCAGCAGAGCCCTTGGCCCCAAGCATGGCCTGCCTGGTCCAGCCTCAAAACATCTGAGTCCAAGCTAGCCCCGAGCATGGCCTGCCCCATCCCCACTCATGCCTACACACACCTCCTATCCCAGAAGCGGGCATGAAGCAGGTAGGGCCAGAGCCAGGGGGGGAAAGGCACCATTAAAAGGGGGCGCTACACTGTGCCAGGACAGGGAGCAATAGCATTGTGGGAACAGAAAGGTGGCCACAGTGCCCCAAGGAGAGAGCTGAGGTGGGGGCATCGGGGAGGCCCCAGCCCACAGCCCCTGCCCTGAAAGGATTGTGTGTGCGGCTTCACAAAAACAGGGGTGTGTGAACATTCCGCTGCTCGAGTGGCTGTGTGGCAGGAAATGTCGGCCCGTGTGCACGGCTGCGTGCACACCCAGGTGAGCCAAGAGGGTTACGTCTTACATAAAAGCATGTGTCTGTCCATCTATCTGTCCTTGAGTCTGTATGAGCAAGCGCAGGGGTGAACACACACTTGAGTCAGCGTGTATCCGAGTGTATCCGGGAGATATGGCTGTGTCTTCGTAAGCCTATGCCGATACACATGTCCCATCTCAAGGGGGGTGCGCGTGTGTGTTTATGTGTGTGTTGGGGGTGGGAGTGAACACAGGTCCACCGTTTCCTGTGTCTGCAGGCTCCTCCATGGCCGTGTGTCCGGATGATCAGCCTGAGCGGGTCATTCATGTCCCCATTTTGGGGGTGGCAGTGATGTAATGTATGTCCTCATTCTGGTGTGCGTCTGTTTGCTGGGGAAGGGGTCCTATCCATCCACCCCCTCCTGTCTGCCGAGGACTCAGGCCTAGGGCCGCAGTGGGCTCAAGCAGCGCCAGCAAGCGCCCCGCCCAGCCGCCCTGGATTTCGATGCTTTTTCCAGAAGGAGATTCCCCCCCCCACCACCCCCCGCCCTTCCCCCTCGCCCACAGTGCCTTTCCCCGCCAGGGCCCCGCTGCTCCAAGCTCGTTCCTGCTCAATCATTTATTGACTTTAAAATCGAAGCCAATTCTGGTTTGAAAAAAAGAAAAGGGGGAGAGAGAGCGAGAGAGCGAGAGAGAGAGAGAGAGAGAGGCCAGAGAGACAGAGAGAGTCCGAGACTCATGGCGGGGGGTGGGGGGAAGCAGAGACGCGGCCAGAACCAAAGTCAGAGACAGAGACAGGGAGAGACAGGGACAGTCAAAGATATGGAAGGACAGAGGCTAAGAAAGAGACAGAGAAAGAGAGAGAGACAGAAAAGGGGCATTGCAACCAGATATAGAGACAGAGACAGAGAAAAAGACAGAGACTGGCAGGGCAAATTACGGAAGCAGAAAGATTTGTAAAAACAGAGACTCTGGATCCAAGAGATGTGACTGTCGGGAGGGGCAGACAGACCCTGCTGACCAGCTGACAGCAGCCGCCTGAGCGGCGGAGCTGAAGGGTGCGACCCAGAGAGACCATGCGCCCCCTCCTCCCCATCCACCCTGACACACTCAGGCCTGTGACACAGAGCTGAGCCCTTGCTCCCATCTGGGGTGTCAGACTCAAGCCTTGGTCATGCCCCTGAGTCTGGTTGCTACCCCAGACCCTTCCTGGTCTTATCACCAGTGGACTGGCTGGTATTTTCTTTCCCAGGGTACCAAGTCTTACCCAGGTCTCAGGGGGCAGGCCAGGCTGCTGGGCGGGTAGTTGGTGGGTAAGGGGTGACTCAAGCATGGGGTCTTAACCCCACTAGGCCCCCGAAACACCAGCACGTAGTCCAGCCAAGCATATCCCCAAAGGCAGCCACAGCTCAGACCCTGCTGGGTGAGCAGGGTTGTCATGGGACCCAAGATAGAGTGATTGGTCCATCAGAGGCACAGATCTGGAGGGGGTCCCCCAGGCTGCCACAGTGGCCAGAGTGCCTGCTTACACCTACATGCATACTGTGATACATACACGTACCTTTGTACCCTCACCGACACTCACACCCAGTTTTGCACAGGAAAACCTGCTCCCTGGGCCACACACACGCCGGTACCATGCAGGCCTGCCCCCCCCCCCGCCAACTCATGGAAGCCACATGCAGACCCCAAGATTGACACACACATACGCACTTGCATCTGTGGATCTAGGAGTGTGGTGCGGCCACGGCTGACACACAACCCCGACAAACTCTCTCGCCCCTCGCCACCCTCTGCCACCTGGTAGCAGCCGTTTTCACTTGGACTCCCACTCCCATCTGTGGGCACAATTGGCAGAAGGCTGGCAGGGCTCAGGCTGGGCAGAGGAGACAATTAGGACCCCAGGCCTGGCCTAAAGATTCTCCTTACACACGCAGGCCCTACTGGCAGGCAGGGCTAGGCAGTCCCCAGGTGTCCCCTCTTCTGAGTCCGCAATGCCCGCAGTAGCCTGGCCCCCCGCAGGCAGCACTGCCAAGGCCACTGTGGGGCTCTGGACAGTTCTTGTGCCCTCTCAGAGCCTGGGTATCATGGCCCAGGGAAGGTGGAGTGGCAGGGCAGGCATCCCCCGCGCTTTTGCCGTCGCCGAGCGCCGCTCAGGGAAGTTCGCTGGAGGCGGGACGCGCTCTGCTCGCGCAGCGCGCCAAGGTCGGCTCTGTTGTGCCCGTGGCTGACCCGACGGCGTGGCCGCAGCACGGTCGGCGGCATCCACGGCTGTCTCCCGCCCCTCCCGCCTCCGGGCAGCGGGACGGGATTCCCCCGGCCCGCCTGGTCCACCGCGCCGCAGCCAGGGTAGCCAGGGCCGGAAAGTTTGCGCCGAGGAAAGTTTGGGGCGGTGGGGGGGCCGCGGCTGCGACGTCCAGGGTCGGCCGAGAGGCGCGGCCCCGGCTGGCAGCGCGCCCGTCCCTCCCTCCCCTCCCCTAACCCTCCGAAATTTGGGAGCCCCGCCATTTTCTTAGCCCCGCTCCCATGTGAGGCCTGAACAAAGACTTTGGGGCGACGCCCGGGCCGCTCGGCCGGCCCCGGGCACCCCGGCTGCACGCTGGGGCCGCCACCACGCATACCGGCCGCTGCCACCCTCGGGAAAAGCTGCGCCCGCCCCACAGAGCGCCGCGGGACCCAGTCCCAGCTCCGAGCCCTCGGGACCACCCCCTGCCACTCTGTCACCCCTGCAACCACTGCCAGTGGCCACGCTGCCCGGGTGCACGCCACAGTCGCCCACCGGTCGGCGGGAGTCCACCGCACCCCAGTCGAGCGCGCGCGCACACGCATGCACCACACACACACACACACACACACACACGCACTCCCGCTCCTCGTTCCGGGGGCAGCGCCACGCACGCAGCTGGCCACCCCCAGGGCCCCCACCAGGAGTCCTCCGGGTGGCCAGGGTCGCACGCGCACCCTGACGCCCGCCTGCGTGCAGGGACTGCCCACAGCACGGCTTGCACCCCTCGGCCGCCCGCAGTCTCCCTCCCCCCCCCCCGGCCGCCGCTCGCCCCCTCCGTCCGTCCTCCCGCCCGCCCGCCGGCCTCCTGCGCCCGCTCCCCTCCCCGGTCGCCCAGGGGCGGCGGCCGGTACCTGGGTGAGGCAGTACGGGGAGTACATAGCTGGGCGCCCAGGCGGGAGCGCGGCGGCCGGCCGCGGCGAGGGGAGGCCCGGCAGGCGGCGGCCGCGCTCGGGCTCCGGCTCCGGCTCGGCTCCTCCGGCCTCCGCCGCGCTGCGCCCGCCCGGCCCGCGGCCCCGCGCCGCCGCTCGCAGGCTCGGCCCCGCCGGCTCCGGGGCCGCCGCCGCCGCCGCCGCCGCCGCCGCCGCGCTCGCCGCTGCCTCTCGCGTCCGCTGCTGCCGCCGCCGCTGCGCGTCTACTCCATGCCGCCGCCGCTCGGCCGGTCACCCTCGCCCGCCGCCGCCGCCAACGCCGCCGCCGCCGCCGCGCTGTGAAAGTGAAAGTTTAGACAAAGTTTGGAAGCGGCGCACTCCGGGGAGAGGGAGCGGGCGGGCGGCGCGGGCGGGAGGAGGGGCGCGGGGAGGGGCGGGCAGGGCGGGGGAGCGGCGGCCGGCGCGCACACACACACACATGCACACACACATGCACACACGCGCGCGGGGGCGCACACCGACACAGCCACCCCAACACGTGCTGGCCCGCGTTCCATCGCAGACACACGCTGACACACAGCAGGGTTCGGACCCCGCCACACATATCACGTACAGAACGCATTGCCACACGTTCCACGTTCCAACAACGAAGCACACACAGACACCTACACACACACAGCATAGACACACACCCTGGTGCACCAGTCCGCGACCCACACGCTGACAGGCACACAGGCCCACCATCACACAATGATAACCTATACACACGCATTCCAGCAATGAACCATGCTTAGACAGGCCAAGACGGGCCTTCCACGGACACACACTGATACACACCAAGAGACACATACACCCTTGCGTGCTGACACGTACGGTTCACGCTGACACACTAACAGTCATGATCACACAACCACACTGTGACGCACTCCAGACATACAACTCCTATATATAGACACCCACAGGCACACACAAAGCCACACCGAAACATCCTGGCAGTAGCCAGCCGGGCACACAGAATGACACTAATAAAATGAAGATGTGCTAACACACTGTCAAACAAACATAAGCCATCAGATACAGGCATGGCATGTACATGCCCAATGACACAGGGAAGGAGCACACTGACCCTGATACAAAGAGATACAAAGTATCACTGATACAAACTGACATTGGCAGTCACAACAACACAAGGACATATACAGGACACACCTGGTGCTCAGATGGACCCCTGGGCCTTGGGTACACTGACCAGTAGTCCAGGGGATCACCCAGCCATGCACACAGGTATGACACACACACACCCAGGCCCCTCCCACACCCCAGCCTTATCGCCCTCATGCAAATACACAAAACACACATACGCACTTGTACTTGGCGCCGATCGTGGACATACACAGATCTAGCAGGCACCACAGAGCCCAACCTGCGGGGACAGAATGGGCATGGAGGCCTCAGGTTCACGTACACTCTTGCCCCACCTCCACCCCTGTGAGACTCCAGTCTCTCATGCAAGCCCCTGAGCCCTCAGAAAGGAACGGGGGCAGAAGTGGGTACTGAGAACCCTGGTGTGGGGCAAGGGAAGCCCTTAGGTGACCCCTGAGGTGGGCGGGGAGGCGTTGCCTGCAGCCCCTGGGCAGCTCCTGCTGAGACAAAGCTCTCTCCTGCTGCCAGGTACAGCCAACACCTTCTCACCCTCCCGGGGCCAAGAAGCTGTGGCAATGCTCAGCCCTGCATTGTCTGTGGGAGGGGTGCGGGTGCCCAGGTGTGTGCGTGTGCACGCACGCTCGTGCTGGGCTGGCTGTGCAGGGCTGCCAAGGCTATACTCCTTGGGTCCCTGCAAGCAGACACAGGGGTGTGTGTGTGTGTGTGTGTGTGTGGTCATATTACATCACTGAGGCAGAATGACTAGAGTTGTGTCCTCGGGTGTCTGTGTGGGTCTGGGTGTACACAGAAACACAGGTCAGTGTACACACAGGAGTCTCTCTGTGGGGACCAGCATTGTGTCATGGTGGGTCTCTCTGTGGGCTTGGGCGCGTCTGTAAATCAGAGAGGGTAAGCACCTGCCAGGCCCCATGTCGAGCGCTGGGCTCACAGGAAGAAACAAGACAAAAGGTTCTGCCCTCCAAGGGCTGACATTCTAGTGGGAGTCACGTGTGGATGGGGCCTGGGCTTGGCAGGAAGTCCTGGAGACGTGGGTGCATGGGGGAGTGAACATGTGTGCTTCAAGCTGACCACAGCGTGCACGACGGCTCCGAGGGTCTTTCTGTCCGAAAGTGTCATGGGCGTGTGACGACCTTGTGTATGTGTGGCAGGGATATGAGTCTGTGTGTCCCAGAGGGTGAGTGACCAAGGGGGCAAGTGGGCAAGAGTCCCGGCGAGTCTGTCTGTGATAGGGGTCTGGGTGGCAGAAAGTGTCCATGGGTGTTACTAGGAGTGTGCTCCTGTGGGGTGGTCTTTGTGGGGCGGGAGCAGTGATGAGGATCTGTGTGTGTGTGCGTGTGCCAGGGAGGGGGTCTCTGTGTGCCTGAGGGTGTGTCTGGGTCCCTGTGTTGTCATTCAGCGCTTCATAGGCTCTGTCCCTAGAATGTTGCGGGTCCCACATGGCCTCCCGCACTATGCCACAGCCGCTCCCGATCCAAGGCCGTGGCAGAGGGAATCGATACGTCCTTAAAAATTCAAGGGCTTCTCGTAAACAGAAACTTTTAACACCGTTTAAAGTTTCAGGGCCTTTGCTGCTGCTCCTCCCCAGCACCGCTGCAGGAGGAAGGTGGGGGGGGGCGATTGTGAGCAATGGTTTGGAGAGAAGGGGCCAGGCTGCATGCTGCATGGGGGACCAGGGAGGGGGGGGCACCATGAGGGGCTGAAAGAAGGAACAGGAAAGGGATTTAGAGATCAAGGACGACTGGGGCCTGGATAGCTCAAGAAAGAAATGGAGAGGGCTGGGTATCTGGCACCTTTAGTACAGCTGGGAGGATTGGGAGAGATCTCCAGAGCTAGGCAGACCCTCCGCCGCCCGACCTCCTCTGCAAATGGGCATGAAGGGCGGCGCCCCTCGGAAGCACCCCCACCAACTTGGGTCCGGTCCTCCCCCCACCAGACGGCCTGCGCTCCCAGCCCCGTCAGCCAGTCATGCCAGACCCTGGGGCTGGGGTGTCCCCACTCACTGATCTCCCTCCTGGTCCTGCATCTGTCCCAAACCTAGGCTCTGCTGGAACCAGCTTCCCGTACCCACTCACACCCACACTCACATCACCATTCCGTTTGCACATGCACGCACACCATCCATCCTTTGTTCACATACACACTCACACCACAACATTCCTCCCTCTGCTCATACTCACACACACATGTGCACGCAAACACACACAGGCAACACCTATCCTTCCATTCAGACAGACACACACACATACAACATCTATATACACACACAGAACATGCTTCCATTGACAACACACACAGGCAACGCCCATTCAGACACACACACAGAAACAGGATACCCATCCGTCCGTTCAGACACATTCACACAAAAAAGGACATGCATCCTTCCATTTACACAGACACATGACACAACATCCATACACACACCCACAGGACATCCATCCTTCCATTTACACACACACACATAGTCACACAACATCCAGATACACACACAACACCCCTCCTTCCATTCATAAACACACAATACCCATTCTTCCATTTACACACACTCTCACACCACTGTGTGCATATACACACTCACTTCCTTATATAGTCGCAAACTACATCCATTCATGTTCACACAAACAAAACACTTGACCCCATGTTCATGCACATATCTGCACTCAGAATTCTCTGATGCTGACACTACCTCCCCCTACCCACAACACCCCCACCCTGTGTGCACATATGCATGTGCGTGCGCACGCACACACACACACACACACACACACACATGCATCCACTCTGCTCCCCTCACTACCGCTGCCAGCTGGGAGGATTTTTATGAGGCAAAGGGGCGCTCTAAAAAAAGGGGGGCTGTCCTAGAGGACACCCGTGCCTCCACCCCTCCCCACACAGAACTCAGGTCTTAGGGCACACCTGGCCTTCGAGAAACTGAGGGGGAGGAGGGCGCTGCCAGGAGGCTGGGCACAGCTGGGATGCCACAGCTGGAATCCCCCACATTCCTCCCTGCCGGAACTGCCCACCCGGCTGCAGCTGGTAGCAGGTGTGTTCTTACCATGCAGGTGTGTGGGGGAGGGAGGGGGAGGGAGGATTGGGAACCAGGCCCATGGCATTACCTGGCCAGAATGCTGGGGGTTGGTAGAGGAGAGGGCACTGAAACATCTGGGCTCTGGCGGCCAGGTCCTGGGCTACTGAGGATGGGGCCAGGCATCACTGGGTTCTGGGGCAGCCAGCCAGGCCTCTTGGGGCTGTGGGTAAACATCTGGCAGGGTAGGCCAAGAGCCAGCCTGTGGATCATGGCAGGGTCAGGGAGGGGGTACTCTAGGCCCTCCTGACAAGTCTGGGAGTCCTCACTCTCCATGAGGGCCTAATGTCTCCCCTGCCCCGCCTGGCAGGCATGGTCTGTGCCCCAAACTTGGGGTCCTAGCTTGGTGCTTGCTGCCCTCACCCCAAGCTGGGAGTCCCTAAGGGGGTCTGAGCCTGAGGTATTACGGGCCCTGCTCTCGGGGCACACCTGGTCAGGCACCTGGAACCATGTTTCACACACAAGAGAATCCCGAGGACACACAGGCACACTTGGACACACGACCTCCTCTGGGGGTCGTCATATGAAGAGCCATCACCACATCCCGTCACGGGCACACACTCTTCCAGAATAGCAAACACACACACACACACACACACACACACACACACACACAATCCCACACAGATCTTCCCAGATCCATCCACAGAGTAACACCAATAATACCCCTGGGACATACAAAGACCCTCACCGACACATAGACCCCCCAAAGAGACTCAAATATACACTGACAGACAAAGACACACTCAGACATTCCGAAACATAGTTACACGGGTTCCTGGAATCACCCTGAGCCTA